TTATAAATAATACATATTTATATATATACAAATGTGTGCAACATGGGTATATATCAATGTAATATGTTGGCAACAAATGTATATTCTGTATAGTTAGCATATTTATTAATTTGAACTTTTTATTGGAAATATACTTTTTACAAAATTACCTTAACTAATTAATATGTAACTAATAAATATTGTTTTCTTTAAATGTTGCCGTTTAAGATTAATTAAACAAATCATAATAGAATTGAAATCACAATAAAATTGCATCTTAAATTTAAGTAGATCCAGTCAAATAGGATTAATGAGTGAAACTATATTTATACTTTATCTCATCTATGTGCTTCAAATTTTTGTCTGTAATTGTACTGAATTTTTATGTAATGAATTTATTAATGAATTATCAAATATTATTGCAAATATATTTTTTACATGTTAGAATTTAATATTACCATTTTTGAAAATAATGTTGTAAACATAAGTATAGAGCTAACTTTACAAAAAATAAATGTAATATTTTTTGTTTGCAGATATAAGACTGTTATGTTGAAAATAAAATACCTCTGTGGAAAATGTTGACAGTGATGTGTCCAAACTGTCGTCACCGATTCCCAGCTCCTGGTTGCTGTGAACTTCAAAATATGAATGAAGATAATACTCTAATTCATCAAGCAACCTGCTATTATGGTGGCCTGCTAGTTCCTAAAGGCTACACAAGTGGTGGTGGCTGTTTTATAAATGCGCCAACCATAATTCATAGTCAACCTATTATCAATTCTTTCAACTATCCGTCAATGACACTTGATTTGGAGAAACCAAGAATTAATAAGCAAAAGGAATGTTTTCTTCAGAGGTCCAAAAAAAATATGCAAAGTTTTGAATTTCCAATCAATAAAGAAGGTCAACAAAATCAAGGTTCTGGATGTCAAATTATCACAAGCTGTGACTTAACTGGAGGAAGTGTTACAATAACAACACCAAGCATACAATCTGGAGGCTGCTTGATTCAAAGTACAGACTCTAGCATTCTCATGCAAACACCACATGTGGAAATCCGTCCAAAATTGTCTGGTGGTGGATGTTTTATGCAAAAAACATTATCAACAGAAAATCAAGAAGCTTCTGTTATACTTCCTGAACATAAAAATCAACAGGAAGGTGTGAATCAGAATGAAAGAACGTTTTTACTACCTCCAAGTGGATGCCAAGAACTACCAGGGATTCGAAGAAATATGTTACCACAGGAAACTGTTGTAGGAAATTTTACAGATGCTAATTGTGAAGAGAAACCAGTTTTTTCAAGTTTTCAAGTGACCAATGTGCCAGTGATGCAATTTCAACAAGCTAAAAGTTCTAAAAAAGGCGAACAAGAATTGGAACAAAACAAAAATTTCAATTGCTGTTGTAATAATGTTCAAAATCTTTATCATGTTAAATCAAACAGCCTCCCAGTTTCTGAAAATCATAATTCTGTAGTTTTGAATTCTAATCCAGGAGTACAGATTCAAGTAAATGCAACTGTACAGCTTCCTGCAAGTTTAGGACAATGTACAGTAAATATAACTGCTACTACTACAAATTCTCCTAATTCTGCATCAGGCATAACTGCAAAAACTAAAAACAATTTCAATGGTGGAGGTTTGGTGCAGGAAAATGAAACTCAGAATGACGAAGAAAATTTTGAAGAAAGCAGGGATAGAACTCCCACTACACCAATTTCGTGGTTGATGCCATGTCCCTGGAGTTTTGACAGTTATATGATGGACCGGGATGCGGCTAGACTGAGTAAAGTTAAAAGACTTTTACAAACTTGTGGTTGGTATCATGAAGGCCTTAGTTGGCAGCAAAGTGAAAATTTATTAAAAAATGCTGCAGTTGGCAGATGGCTAATGAGGGATAGTTCAGATAGTAGATATATGTTTGCAGTATCCGTGCAAACTGCTAGAGGACCTACCTCTGTTCGAGTTCACTATTTTGTAGGGCAGTTTCGATTAGATGCTGAACCTAGTCTTGCTTTTGCAATCCCCCTTTTTGATTGTCCAATCAAAATGCTAGAGTATTATGTGGAGTATTCAAAAAGTGTTGATGAACATAGAAAAGAGGTTTGGGTAGATTATAGTGGACAACTTTATAGTCCAATTTATTTGACAAAGCCTTTAGTTAAAGAAGTTAGGTCTCTTAGTCATTTGGCCAGGTTAGTTGTTAATAGGTACAAACTACTCACTGAGCACTTGCCACCATTAATTAGAAATTATTTAGCAGAATACCCATATACTCTTTGAAATATGATGTGTAATGTTTTTCTGATTTCTGGATTTTCTTTAACAATACTTTAAAAAACTACAAAATGTGTGTATTATACTAAATGAATTAGCAAATTACTTTACAATGAATAATATTTAGGAGAAATATTTATCAAATCGTTGATAAAAAGAATTGTTTAATTTGTTCCATTTGTTTTAGGGGAAATAGTAAAATTTCTATTTCTACTTGCTTTAATTTATAGAAATAAATAAAATCGTTTAGCAAAATACTTCAAATTAAATATTCATTTCGGTTTGAGATTACTGCATAACAAATAATTGCTGGCACTAATTCCGGAAATCAGAAATATTCGAGAATATGTTTATTTTTATACATTTTAAAGCAATTTATATCAGAATCCGTACTTGTGGTGAAATATGATATAAAGTATAACTAGTGAGATATCGAAACTTACACTTTCGTAAATTAAATAAACAATTACATATGGCTCGCAACATTTTATTAAAAAGGTACGAGACATTTAATTGTTCAAATAACCAATGAATTTGAAAATGAAACGAAAGTGTGTAACTCTATTCGTAGTCAACAAAGCATAATATTACAAGATTGATTATTCGACCGAGTTTCTTTTCACGTTTCAAATTTTTTTGGAGAACAGTGTACCATTTACATACCCTGTTCGAACCAAACAAAATGTTTAACAATATTTTTCTTTATAAGTGATTAACGAAACTATTTTTTTTTAAG